TCCCAGGGGGTCACCCATCCCAAGACTACTCCCGTGCAAGCACGCTTAACTTTGGAGTTCTTAGCGGATGAGCTCCCTTAAAAGGAGATGCATCTTGTTGGTATGAGTAGTACTATTAATCCGTTTACATTAAATCTCAAGTGTTACAATCACCCCCACTTAGGATCGCAACGTCCTCGTTGCGCCCTTAAACCAATCTGAATCAAACCCCAGAATCTTTTCCCCTGCTAAGTGTTTGCCCGATATCCAACGGATCTACACACTGTCGCAGGGTTGCTCTGATACCACCTGTAACACCCCGGCCCCGCAAGACCCGAGGTAGTTACTCCAGACCTCTAGTACTGTCCCCACAAACCGCCACTAGCCTTTTACGCGCACTTTGTCCTCACTCATGCGCGCCCTGAGAAACTTCCCAGGGGGTCACCCATCCCAAGACTAATCCTGTGCAAGCACGCTTAACTTTGGAGTTCTTGGGTGATGAGCTCCCTTAAAAGGAGATGCACCTCTGTTGGTATGAGTAGTACTATTAATCCGTTTATATTAAATCTCAAGTGTTACAATCACCCCCACTTAGGTACGCAACGTCCTCGTTGCGCCCATAAACCAATCTCAAATCTCAATCAAATCCCAGAATCTTCCCCCGCTAAGTGCCCGCCCGATATCCAACGGGTCAACACACTGTCGCAGGGTTGCTCTGATACCATTTGTAACACCCCGGCCCCACCGGACCCGAGGTAGTTACTCCGGACCAATAGTACTGTCCCCACAAACCACCACGAGCCTTTACCGCGCACTTTGTCCTCACTCATGCGCGCCCTGAGAAACTTCCCAGGGGGTCACCCATCCCAAGACTACTCCCGTGCAAGCACGCTTAACTTTGGAGTTCTTAGCGGATGAGCTCCCTTAAAAGGAGATGCATCTTGTTGGTATGAGTAGTACTATTAATCCGTTTACATTAAATCTCAAGTGTTACACAAACATAGTTTAATTTTTTTTCATATTTTTCTCCTAGTCAAACTTTGTATGTAACATGCAGAAAAATTATATTCATGGTGCATTTCGAATTCAAAGAAGTTTATTAAAGATCAGAAAAGGATTCTTCTTTCCCTTCAAAGAGGGGTTGCACAGACATCAACGAAGCAATCAGTATTTGAGTCCTTTTGTGGTTCCCCTGCGCCTTCTGTCGTCACGGTTTATCTTCCATAACAAGCCAAGAATAAAAATTCAGGACATAGGATCAAGTCTTCCAAAGAGGTTTCTATCCAAGAATCTAAATGTCCCAAGAGACTTTGTCGTTCGTGCAATGAGATGTGTCATCACGATAGCCGGAACTGTCCGCTGAATAAATAGGACTGTTTAAGATAATTGTTTTAGTCGTTACTTGATTTTCTTTGTTTTTACCCCGGTGGATGTACACTGTTGACAAATTTTGTTCACGAATATTGTTTTATGTTTTATAAGTATGCATTCCGTTCATGTCCTTACTGCATTATACACATTATTTGTATGCATATTTGAATACACTTATGTGCACCTTGTAGTTCTACACTAGTCACGAGTCAACACTAATTATATACGCTTACTTTGTTCCCCATACTTTTGTGTTTTTTCATAATTGTTTTTATCAGTAAATACACATACAAATATTTTTGTAACAATAAACGTACACATTCACACATCTCACCATTTATTGACTAAAAAACCATGACATTTATTGACTATGTAATTATAACAACTTGCACACGAACATACTCTGAAGTGCATGCTACATTCTCAATTGCTGCATTAGCCACCACTAGTTGTATTACGTTTAATTTGTTTCTTCATACTTTATTAGTGTTTTCTCATGATTGTATTAATCGGTGAATACACATACAATTTATTTTTGTACCACTAAACGTACACATTCACACATCTCACATTTTATTGACTAAAAAATTAATGACATTTATTGACTATGTAACTATAACCTAATTTGCACACGAACACATTGTCAAGTGCACCTTGGATTTACAAACCTAATTTGTATTGTATGTTATGCATTTCATTCAACTACAAACATCAATCAAATTTAAAAAAAAACATGTAAACCTGGAACATATATTAAAACAAACTGTATTCAACGTCAAGTTTCACACAAATATTAAACGTAAAGCAGTCCTTATTTAAAAATGCAAATACATCATTGTAAATTGTAATGTTAAAACAGATTCAAACTGATGTCAACTTCAAATTTCATTGAATTCATTAATTGGGCGTTGCTCCCTTCTCTCGCTCTGCCACCTTTTGTTTCTGTTCTTTAGCTTTCTTGGCAAAATTTCTTGCACTCACTAAGTTTGACTGCATGTACTCATTCTTTTCATTCAGGAGAATTACCGAGATGTACTTCACACCTGACGTCCCTACCAATTTGGTGTCTGTTTTCTTCAGCTCAATATTCCATCCTTGCAAGCCTTGACCTTGATATGTTTCCATATGCCGCATTGTGAAGATGACATAGTCGTAAAAGTTCTTCGTCTCCTTGAACTCCATTCCTAGCCTCTTTGTTGTGTTGCCTTCCTGACTTTCTCAAATTTGGTCATCATATTTCTGGAATCCATGTACTTCACAAACATATTTATCTGCACAAAATTTTGCTTAGCCTAATAATTTTCATTTCTCGCATAAAAAATAATTTCAACAGTGCACCTTACCATAAGTACTAGTTAAATGTATCGATTATTCCGTACCACGTTTTGAGGCATTTCCCGTATTTATCAATATTGTGTGCTCTAGATGCACAATAACTGGATTTCATCACTACATGCACTAAATGGGACATTCATATGCACCTTCATATTACTGTAAATGCATTTTCCAAATCAGGAAATTATCACTAAACACACGAATTGCACTTAATATCACATTCAAATTCACTATCACTTTGCTGTAAATGCATTTACCAAACGTGCAAGTAATCCATAAGTGCATTTAATAACTCTATCACAACAAATAAACGTCATATGCATATAAAATCCATCACAAAAAAATCATATGAACACACCTTAATTACATACACCACACCTTATATTTAAATGCACCCTAACTTTCTTCACTGTAACTAGATTTCATCAGTACATGCACTAAATGAGACATTCAAATGCACCTTCACATTACTGTAAATGCATTTTCCAAATCAAGAAATTATCACTAAACACACGAATTGCACTTAATATCACATTCAAATTCACTATCACTTAATGTAAATGCATTTACCAAACATGCAATTCATCAATAGGTGCACTTAATAACTCCATCACAACAAATAAACATTCATATGCATATAAACTCCATCACAAAAAAATCATATGAACAAATCTTAATTACATACACCACGCCTTATATTCAGCTGCACCCTAACTTTCTTAGTCTGTATTTTAACTCCCATACACAACATCCTCACTGAAAGTTGAACTTCACCTTTAACTGAACTATTTTGCACATTAATTCTATCACAAAAAAACCTACACTCAACTGCACATATCTGAAAATAGGAACACCAATCATGAACACAAAAACCCACATTCATAACCAAAATGCACACTTCATTCACGTGGAACTCCATATTAGCGAAGAGGTTACATTACAAAATTCAACCATCGAAATAGTTCACTCAATCTAACGTCCAGCCAAAATGCATCCACACAACCCTCTTAGTGCATAAAAATAAGAAATCATCCATGCAAACAAATTAATCCAAACAAAAAAATTTAAAAACCTTACCTTCTTCGCAGAAACGGCGTCCTTTGTTGAGAGTCAAGCTTTTGCCGTTCTTCTTCGATTTTGGTTTCGTTGGTGCATTTACTATTTGGAGAACCCCTGCTTGTTTCCTTTTTCTGATTTGCTATACATGGGTGGTTCGGATAGTAGTGGGTATTAGCGCAATTAGGGTGATTTCCTTCCTTTTTCTATTCTTGCGGTTCTCATTTAAAAAATCTCAAATTACTTATTTATCCTTACTTACTCAGCGGGTGTTTTTTTTTTTTTCATTTCCATCCTACGCAGCCCACAGCATGTTACGGTGTGTAACATGTTTTCAACGCTTGATTTACCAAAATCGGACAGATATGATTTATTTGCATTTTGTATGGGAAGCATTGTTTGTATGTGATCTCTTCCCTATATATATATATAGAGTAATCTTCCGGTCAGGTATACCTGACCGGAGCCGCCGTCCGGCCTCCTCCTTTTGGGGGCCTTCCCGGTGGTATTTGTTGCTCAAATTTTTTGTGTATGTTCCTCATCAAGTCTAGTTCATCCATACCAAATTTCAGCAAAAAATTCAATCGGGAAGGTCGTCAAATGATTTTTGCAAGTTAACTGGTCCGGAATATGTGCAAAAAATATCACCGGGAAGGCCCCCAAAAGGAGGAAGCCGGACGGCGGTTCCTGTCAGGTATACCTGACAGGAACATTTGTGTGTGTATATATATATATATATATATATATATATACTATGTATATATTTCTCAAAAAATAATTTTGAGAAAGAAGACAAAGAGATGTTGATCCGCCCCCTCCTGAACCGTCGCCATGGAGGAATTGTGCGACCAGAGTTTGCATGACTATTTCTATTTCTGATAAGACGATTGTATTTTGTTTTTATTTTATTTCGATTGTGTTTTGTTGTTTATTTATTTTATGCTGTAAGACTTTTACACCTGGATTGATGAATGAGAGGCTTGCAGTAATCGTCTTTGGTTTGATTATGCCCAAGTTAGGACCAGAGAGTTATATTTCTTTGTCCAAGGTGAACTCAAAGTCTCGTCAAAGGGCGGATGGTTACCTGTGGTTCTTTTGTTATTTCAACCCTTATCTCTTATCTGATGTCTATTTATAGACGTGAAAACCCCTTAAAATTATTCAAAATCCGACTTTTGGCAATAAAATTATTTATGCATCTTTTACTCTTTTAGGCAAGTACTTCGTAATACTCCGTAATTACTTGCTCCTATTTTTTTTGCCGTGTATATTATTTATTTATTGCTTGAAGAGAACAACGAAAGGAGGAAATACCCTTTCTGCTTCTTCTACATACTCGCTGGGCTTATCACTAACCCTAATTATAGATTTTCGATTCAATTAGATCCTCCATGGCCAGTGAATCCACAGAGCACTCTCGTCGGAAGCATCGTCGGTCATCTCCTTCCGATGAAGAAGTTAAGGATACATCAAAGCGCCGTAAGCACCGTCATCATCACCGTCGCCACCGTCACCACAGCAAAAAACACCACGAAGGTGATTCGAATCCGGATATTGAAACTGATAAGGCTGAGGCTGAAATTGAGCACAAAAAGCAGGAACTTGGTGGGGTAGCTACAGGTCTGGTCAATGGGTGTTCTAATTTTGGGATTGACTACGATATGGAGGAAGGGGAGATCATTGACGATATTTTACCTTCTGGTGCTGGTGTTGACGATTTGGATGGTAGAAATACTGAATTGGGTTTAGACAGGGAGACAGAAGATATTGTAGTCCAAAACCATCGTCTTTTGGACCTGAACAAATCAGATATGGTGTGTTCTGTTCTTCTAATATCGTCTAAGCTAATTCAGTATATATTTTTTCCTTGGAAGTTTTAAATTTGGATGCTTCAATTGATGGTAACGTTGAATTGTGGTTTAATTTATCTCGGGATCTTTTCTAATTGAACTATTTGTCTTTCTAGTTTCCATGTTTCTTTTGCTAAGCTACGAGGGTCATATTTACTTCCCGGCTTAAAAAATTTTAAAAATATAAAATGCATATATTTATATGATATGTATTAATGGTGTTCTAATTTTACGATTGAACCAATGGGTTTCTGATAAGTATGTTAGCACCCGTTTGCATGTCACAGACCTGATACTTTGTATTCCATTCAGAGCTATGCACACTATTTGACTATATTCTTCAGGGAAAGTACTCTAGCCGTGTTCTGATTTCTGAAGACTGATGGCTTTCATTTTATCTGTAAGCAATAGTTAGAGGTTTTCATAATGAAACTGTCATTGAAATGGCCAGTTCTGTTGAATATATTGTCTACGATGGATAACTGAGGGAGCTTATTAAGTTTAACAATGTCTTTTGTTCTGTATTTTACTGCAGAAACATAATAAGGCTCAATTAGATGGGCCTAATTCCAGCGCGCCCTCTGAAGATAATTTGGAAAAAGTTGAGATGAATTCAATATCTTCAGGAGTGGACAATGCAAAAAGGAAAGACAGAGAATGTGATTATAAGATCCACAAGCATGTAGGCCAAGAAACAACATATAGTGAGGGACATCATGCCAATGGCAACTCTGATGGAGAACACCGTGGAGCGGGCCATACAAGATATGTTGGAAAACACTCCCCTAATAAAGAGAGTAGAAAGCAAAGGAGCTACTATGCTAATGAAAATGATTTCAATCAGAGAGGTTCTGTGACGCTTGAGAGTTCTGGGAAGTGGCACACTGATAAGGATGGTTTCGATATTGAAAGAATGAGTGGGCATAATCGAGACCATCAATATGGAAGATATTTAAGGGAAAGGGGAGAGCGCAGTCCTAGTCATAGTAGATATGATAGCCGAGAGGTAAGGCATCGTAGCCGTGAGACTATTGAAAGGTACAGGGAAGCAAGTTTGGATATTGACAGGGATAGAGCCAGAGAGAAGGATCACGAAAGGGCAAGGGAAAATTATAGGGTAAGGGAGCGCGAGAGCGATAGAGAAAGAGCACATGCTAGAGAGAAGGAAAGGGATAGGCACCGGGATAAAGACAGTGATGGGGAGAGAGGGAGGGAAAGGAGGAGAGATAAGGATAAGGACAGCCGAGGAGGTAGAAGTCGGGAGAGAGAGTGGGAAAGGGACAGTGTCAGATCTAGCAGGCAGTCTAGATATGATGATTTTGGCAGGAGCCATGGGGATCGAGATAGATATGGTGCTTCTAGGCATATTAGAGATGATGAAACTGCCCATTGCTACAGAAATCAGTCAGGCAACGCAGAAGGAAACAAATCTGACAAATCAATTATAGGAATGGGAAGTGATAAGTTTAGAAGGTACATTTCTCTCATAGTCTCATGCTTTAATATTTCGAAATATGTATTAGGTGGTCTGACTGAGGTTTAAAAAGGCTAGTTTGGGTATTGAGGCGGTTTGTCCCGGAGAGGTGAGGCGTAATCCTTGAGGCGTAAGCCTCAAAATATACCCACAAATAAAACTTTAAATAACTGAAAATCAACTATAGATATGCATAATTATAAGTTCAAAAAATCTCAAAACACAAACTGATCACATCATCAATCACGATAGTTCAAAATGAGAATCTAAACACACAAACACATCACACATGACACAATGGAAGCTTAATCACCATATCTTATAGCCTTATCACCACCATCATATCATATAGCCTTAACTCATCACCCCTTCCATCATTACTTTCAGAATCCTATCATTCTTGTCATTGTGCAACAGCATGAAAATATTTTAATAATTTTCACTTGCCAGGCTTGTTAGGGTTTACAAAGTATATGTGGACACAGTTTTAACGTATGGGCCTTTTAATAAATAAAATTTACTGGGACTTATTTATGTTACAACCATGGTAAAAAGAAACAAACAAAGAAAATCCCGCCTCAAAAAACGCCTTAGGGCGTGCCTTGAGGTGTATTCCCTGAATTTTGAGGCGTACACCTCGTAAGGCTCTTATCATGTAAAAAAACTTAAGCCTCAATACTTAATCTACACGCCTCACATTGAGGCGTGCCTCAATAGTCAAAACCCGCCTCTTAACCGTTTTTTTAAACCATGGATCTCGCATTATTAGGAATAACCTTTTATGACTTTTGGTGGATTTCAGAGATGAAGATGAGCAAGAGGAGTATCAGGAGAAAATCACGATGCAACTTGCTGAACAAGAAGAAGATACTGAGAGGATTAAGGAAGAAAGTAGACGGCGTAGGCAAGCCATACTTGAAAAGTACAAGAATCGGCAGCCACCGATACAAACTAAGAATTGTTCAGAAGAACGTGGTAAGTTTTCATATCTTTGATGTATTTAGGTTTTTAACTATTTTGTTATTGATTCTCTTTCCCCATCTGTGCTGATTTGCAGTTCCATAAATTCAGTTTATACGAATAATTATATTAAGTGGCTTGCATGAATATGTGTGTAGGCCAACCTAGGAACTTGATTGTGGGAGGAAGGCAGCTTTAAACAGTGTTGAAGAGTTTTATACATTAGAATTTATTATATTTTTTGAAGAGCTGTGCTAGGTGTGTACAAAATGTGTACACTTTTTTTGTACCACGCATTTTTCTAAAATAATTAACTGTTGAATTGAACAATTTTTGACTCCAACAGGGAAAGTAAGAACACTTCACTTTTGGGGACAGAGTAATGGTTTCTTGTATACTACTTTCCTTATTTTCTTAAAGAGTATTTGTGTTTACATTGAGAAGGTATTTATTTTATAGATTACATGAAAAATGCTTAATAGTAAAAGCGGCTAGTGTTTGAAAATAAAATGGTTTTTGAAAAAGTAAAAACCTGTTGGCGGGAGCCTTTGCGGCAATGGGGTAATGATGATGAGAAAAAGTGAAAAGCAGTTGAGGCTTCTAACTTTTAGCTTTAAGTGCTTCATTTAAGCAGAAGCACCTGTTTGAAAAACATCATTTAGCTTTTTGAAAGCTAAGAACTGGAAAGCACTTTTTTAAGCAAATGAAAACACTCCCATAATTTATTGTCCCTGGATCTTTTTCCTTCTTACTTTTGTTCCTAAGTGTGACTTTTTGTGGATTAAACAGATAAGGCCGTTCAGGGCAATAATCGTGTGCCAGAAAGTGATGCTAGAACTGATGATACAGACACTTCTGCTGGTGATGCAGATTTTTCAGTAGGAAAATCACCTCGCCAGGAACATCACTCTGTGAATGAGCTGACTTCTGGAGTTGGTGGACTAGGACATGGTACTCCAAAGGTGCTCCGACTATTACTGCAACTGCTATTTATTTTTAATAATCAGTTTCCATCTCGAATTCTGACTGGAACTTCATTTCATTTCTTTACCTACATGAATTGATGGGCGGATGTATTCTTATTGTGTATGCATTATTTTGTGCATTGTGTGTGTAAATAATTCATATAAGGTTATTTGAGGATTATAGCTGTAAATTCAGAAAGCTTACTGACATATGAGATTTTTAAACATTGCAGAGTGAGAGGTTGCATGACATGTTCTGTGATGATATATTTGGAGAATCACCTGCAGGAGATCGTAAGCAAGTAAGTCTTACATGTATCTCTGCACTGTAGCCTCTATTTGTTTAAATTGACATCAAATATTGAAAGGTGTTGTAGGGCCTTACATTATAAAGTTGTGATTTGTCCACATCACTTGAGATCACCACTATAAGAATCTGTGTAATTTGTGCTTGCTTTTGATGTACAAAATCCAATGTATTGTTTTAAATAAAACTGTGATCAAAGAATAAAAGAAAAGGCAGGAAATATTTGCAATGAGAAATTGGGTCCTGTTATTCTTGTTATAATTTTGATCTTGTTTATGAGAGAAGAACTCATAGTAAAGCAATTGTCTGTTTTTTAATGTTCTGGACCACGTCGATAGGAAACCATATGCATTGAGATATTTTGATATGTTTTTGTTCCTCACAAAGTTAACTAAGCTCTTTTGTTGTAAAATGTGGGGATATTGGCTATAAGCTCTTTTTCATGTGGTAATTACTGTTAACTAATAACAAACTATACTGTCATTTGGACTTCATGAATCCCCTCATCACATCCTCAGATCTAGAATACCCCCTTAAAGAGAGAGATGTGAGTTTATGAGCTGCTTATATTATGAGAGGGAAGTTTTCTTCCATTTCCATGCTGTTGGTGTGAATAATTCTTCTTTTGTTCCCATTTTGATGTGACTTTTCAATTTTACCATGCTTTCAGTTGACTCTTGAGTATATGTGATTAGATACATTTATTTGCACACAAGTATATTCATGATTTTTTTGATTTTCTTTTCAAGGATAAAGCAGATAGTTTAACCATTGAAAGAGCTGGTCTTCATGATAACTGGGATGATGCAGAAGGGTACTACAGTAAGTTGTCTTTGTTGACTACTACGGAGTATTTTTTATAATCTTTGTCATGTTTCAATTATTAATGTGGCCTGAAGTGTCATTATTTTCCTTGTTTGAATAACAGTAAATGTTTGTAAAATTTGTTTCATTGTTGTCTTCGCTAACTGATAAATGTGCCTTCAGAAAACACTATTTCCTGTTTCGATAAAAGTTGTGATGTCTTGTGATACAAACTCATACTCATATGGCTTATTTGGAGTAGTAACTCAAGGAAATTGCATAACCTTTTTGATAAAAGTTGTGATGTCTTGTGATACAAACTCATACTCATATGGCTTATTAGGAGTAGTAACTCAAGGCAACTGCATAATATATAAAACTTTAGTCCCTAATTCTGAACTTGTTGATTTAATTGGGTAATTGAGTGGTATTAATCTACCTACTTCCTATTCCCATTGGTGGTTTGCCATTTGTGAATGTAATTTTTTTTATGTCTTCTTATATATATTAAGGCTACCGTTTTGGAGAGGTGCTTGATGGACGATATGAGATCATTGCTGCTCATGGAAAAGGAGTCTTTTCTATGGTTGTCCGTGCCAAAGATCTAAAGGCTAAACCTGGCGATCCTGAAGAGGTAGCAATAAAAATGATCCGTAATAATGACACAATGTATGTTCTGTTTTATTCTTTCTCCATTTCCTGCAGGCCTGTAGCTTGCTTTACAAGCAACCTAATTTTCTTTGATAATGCGAGTCAGGTACAAGGCTGGTATGGAAGAACTGGTGATATTGAAGAAGTTAGTGGGTTCTGATCCTGAGGATAGGCGCCACTGTGTTCGCTTCCTTTCTAGCTTTAAGTACCGGAATCATCTCTGCTTAGTGTTTGAATCTCTTCATATGAATCTTCGAGAGGTTTTGAAGAAGTTTGGTCGTAACATTGGACTAAAGCTTACGGCTGTGAGGGCATATGCAAAGCAGCTATTTATTGCTTTGAAGCATTTAAGAAATTGTGGTGTTCTCCATTGTGACATCAAACCAGATAATATGCTGGTACATGACATCCCCTGTCGTGCTTTCCTTTTCATGTGCCTGAGTGCCTCTCTTCCTTCCCGTAATTGAATGATCTGATTCATGTTTCTTATGCTAGGTGAATGAGGCAAAAAATGTCCTGAAGCTTTGTGATTTTGGTAATGCCATGTTTGCTGGAAAGAATGAGATTACTCCATACCTAGTGAGCCGTTTTTATCGATCCCCAGAGATTAGTAAGTATTCTCATTTGTTGGCATTTTCTTCGGCAGCTTGTTTTTTCTTTAAACCCTCGGCAGAAATGAGACTACTTTTTTTTTTGCCCAAGTACATATTCGTATTTCTTGACAAAGTACATATTCGTATTTCTTGATATTATCTTTGATATTATGTTTTTCACTCGCCTCTCTGAAATGCTGTTGTCCCTTCCTAAGTTCTTCATTGTTTTCCTTGTGCAGTTCTAGGCCTGACTTATGACCACCCAATGGATATGTGGTCAGTTGGTTGCTGCTTGTATGAGCTTTATACAGGAAAAGTTTTATTTCCTGGCCAAACAAACAATGACATGCTTCGCCTTCAAATGGAGTTAAAGGGTCCATTTCCTAAGAAAATGCTTAGAAAGGTCAGTTTGACCAGTTCACTTCAAATGTTTCTCTTATGCACTTGATGTGATTGCTGGGTTTGTCCCGTTTGGTATCCTCTTTTCTCTGTCTTTGTCTGTTAGTAGTGTTGTGTTGTTGGGCGTTTTCCTTAGATTGTTTTTGGACCTTGTAAAACATGAACTGGATTTGGATACTCAGTTTTGCTCTCTTTATAAACCTTTACAGGGAGCATTTATGGATAAACATTTTGACCAGGACCTTAATTTTCTTGCTACAGAAGAGGATCCCGTGACAAAGAAGGTAACAATACTGTGATACCATCTTACAAATCTGTTTCTATCGTTAATTGCAATATGAGTTTTTTATAAGTTAGGAAGTTCATTTTGACTTCTTGTTTGACATGCAGGCTGTAAGAAAGATGATTGTTAATGTAAAGCCAAAAGATATTGGTACAATTGTTTTGGGCTCTCCTGGTGAGGACCCAAAGATGTTCACACACTTCAAAGATCTCCTCGAGAGAATATTTATGCTTGATCCAGACAAGAGACTCACAGTTTCACAAGCACTCAGCCATCCATTCATTACGGGCAAGTGATCAATGATGATGATTTTGACTGCAGTCTGCAGACATGCTGTGTTGCCACTAGATTCTTGTAGAGTTATGATAACTAAATTTGGATACGCTCTACTAACCATGGGCATATTTTTTATTATATACTCTGCTGGTATAAGTGCTGCGGACACAAGTGCTTGGCTTGATAGAAGTGGGAAGAGAATACATCTGATTGGGAGACTCCCCTCTCGGCTGTTCTTTCAGTGGAATATTTTCTGGTTCTATTGTAAGATAACTTGCTGATGGCATTTTTCTCCCATTTCTATTATTTTTTAAAGATGTACTTGGACACAATCATCACAATTGTGAAGGTTGACATGCTAAAAGATTTCACTTTGATAGAAGCATGTTTCTCAATGTATGTGTACTACTGGTTTCGGCCATCACTAGCTTAAGTCTTGATGTTGATTCCTCAAATTTATGTATATTTGAATATCTTTTGCTGGCCTGCTGCTTTATACTAGGATCTACTGTCCTGTCATCATGTCCCTTATGTGTTTGAAATTGTTTGGGTCCTGGAGAATCTAATTCGGCTTTTCATTCAGGATGTCTACCAAGGTTATGGATGCGTCCACTTCTTTAGTTGCTTGAAAGGCACCCTGGAGAAGGTATCTTGGTTTGTTCGTTAGGAACTTTTTATGAGAAATTTGCACTTTTCATCCTTGTCCCCCATTAATGCTAACTTATTTATTGGTTGACATTGCTCTTGGTAATTATAGACTCATTATGCATTTAATTTGGGTCTACTATCTGCAGAAAGTTGGCTTTGTTGTTGAATTTACACATACAGTTCTGATAGTTGAGGTAGTGGATATGGTGACTAGACATTAATCTTTCACTTAAGCGCTTGTATTTTTTGATTTTTTGGGTACATGGGGAATTTTTACGGGAATCCTTTAACTGAGATCTGACAACTCCCACAATCTGATTTAGTAACCAGTGCTTGAATAGCTGAATGCGTTGTTTGTGTCATTTTTTTTGCGTTAAATAAGTTTGCTAATGACACTATTGCATCTGATCCATGATGTGTTCATGCTGGAGCATTGTATATCTGGAGATGATAAGAAGCCTGGGAACTGAACGTATTAAAGAGTGAGTTGTCCTTTCAATTTCTCTGCTGTCCATTGTTGAGAAGGCATTTTTTTTTGGCTAAATGTAGTATTTTTGATTGGATTTTCTCTTGATAGGGTTGGCTTCATGGTTCTGCAATTATAGTAAGTACTCTTGTTTATGTTTTTATTTATTTTTGTACTGCATGCCTGCGCAAGGCCCAAGTTATTGGTGACTATAGCTTGGTTCAACCCAAATCAAGCCAAGATGTTTCCCACTTTTGAGGGTTTAGGCAAGTTTAAGAAGTATTTTGGTCATTGAAGCAAAATGCGGCATAGGTTTTCAGAAGGTTGAATTTTGGGTTTAAATGAATTACACATTTTAAAATACACTCCGACAGAAAAACTGGAAGGGTCAATAGAGATGGCGAAATGTGATTTTATGATAACACAAGCCCAAAACTGTTATTATACTCGTTTCGTTCTTGTCCACCAAAACTACGAAGTTGGATTTCATTTGGTGAACAATGGTGCAATAATGGTCCTTTGTGGTTATATTAACCTCAGCATCCTTCTTTTCTATAAGGTTTTATGGTCTTCAATTTGATTGAAGTTGGAACTTGAAGATTCCGTAATAATTGGCGACTGAATTTGCTATATTCTATCATTTACTTTGTTTCAAATTATTCGTCGATGGTTACAGTGTCCTAGAGTTGTGGCTTAAACTAATTAATTGGGTGCCAGGTTTGTAACAATAATGATTTTCGGTTCGTGTAGAATATGGTCATTTGTTCTTGATGATTCCTTTCGATGAGTAAGTTTTCTTCCCTGTCCAAAAAAGGTTCAATTTCTTGTTCCAAAGATTCCAGCCTGATCAAATTAAGCTAATTTTGTCAAAGTAATAGTTAAAGACTTAAATTTCACAAAAAGTTTGATTTATTTTATACTAAAAACCTAACTTTTTTCTAGAGTCATTATTTACAAAACTGTTCTTAGAATAAACTTTTCTTCACCAGTTTCTTTTCTGCCATAAAAAAATTGTCATGTATATTTTTCCTAATTATATTTCAATCGTTTTTTCTTCTAAATAACTCCCCCAAGCCACTTGGGAAGTGTCCACCCCTAGTATTCTAGTAATGACATTTAACAAAAATTGTCTAAGCAATATGCTCTTTAATTCCAAGCATTTCTCATTCATCCATGTCATTTCTTTACAATTCATTTGCCTCAGAAGATCAAAATGACACTTGTTTATATTTTCAAGATCTGAAACAGTTAGAAACTTTCCATTTGTATGATTTAAAAACTGGATATTTTCATGACTTATAATTTTATCATAATGAATCATTTTGACTTTAAGATCATTTATTCATATATCATAGACAACTTTCATGACATTAGGCATGCCTACAAAGTTCAATGAGATAAATGATGCATGAGAGGTGAACAGTTATAATAAAAAAAGGGAAAACTATCAAATTGGCCCCTGTAGTATTTTAAAAAATCAATTAAGCCTCCGAACAAAAAAACATTCAATTAAGACCTTAAACTTTACAAAAATGCTCAAATTTGTAATCTAGTAGGTATGTTTTCAGTCATCTTGTCATTACCCAAATAGGTTATTTTAATCGTTTTTTTTCTTCTCTTTTTTCTTCTCTTCACATACCCCAGCCCCCCACTCTTCTCCACCTACTTTTTCTACAGTCCCCAATCCCCCATTCTTCTACACCTTCGAGACAAGCAAATAGGAGAATAGTACGACATCATTTCTCCCCTGCTTCTTTCCTCATCCAGACAAGGAATTATGGACACCCCCCTGCAGTGGCGTAGCTAGGGGTGGGCCAGACCTGGCCCTGGCCCAGCACAAATTTTAAAAATGTCTTTATTTTTAGTTTAAAAAATTGTGTAAAAAAATTTTCAAAAATATTCTATGTACCGGTCCAGTCTGGCCCAGGGTCCTGGCTCTGCCCCTGCGCCCCTGCTTCTTACTTCTCCCAGAGTCCCAGGCAAGAAACTATGCCGCCATAGATTTCATATAGATCGATGCCGTCAATTTCAAAGGCAACAAGAAGTTGATATCCTACACTAATTTGTATGGTCTCGCCAATGACATGTGTTGAAGACGAAGTTGTCTCCGCCGATGAGGAAGCTCAAGAGCTTTGCCACCCAAGTCGCGGGCGAGGAAGATAAGTCACCGGCAATGGACAGAGCTCAGGGGTTTGCTCGATCTGCTCGCAAGAAAGAAGAAGGGAAGGTTTGGGCGGAAGAAGAAAAGGAGAAAGAACAAGAGAAATACGGAAGAAGGGAGGCACCAGAGGAAGAAGAAACTAGAACCGGCAAGAAGAGAGAAAGGGAGAGAACAGAACAAGATGTTGGTGGAAGAAGGTGAAAAAAGGAGAAAAAAAGAGAATGAAAAATTAAAAATCAAGCCAGGTAGGCAAGTGACCGGTTGACCGGCAATTAACCTCTAAAATTTTGATTTTGAATGTTTTTGTAAAGTTTGAGGTCTCAATTGATTGTGTTTTTAGTTCGGGGGCTTAATTGATTTTTTAAATACTATGGGGCCATGGGGGCCAATTTGATAGTTTTCCCTAATAAAAACTTGAAGGATAACTAATTAACCTATTGAAATACAAGGTCGAGTTAGTACATATGATCGATTTGTAAGGGGCCAAATAGTAATTTATCCCACTTCCAAGTATAGAAATATGGAGTACAACTATAAATTGGTGAAAACGTGTGATGGATAACTTGTTGCCTTTTATTTGATGAAACATAGTTCGCTGACCTGCATTGTGACTTGCGAGCCCTTTGAAGTTTGAAGAGTGAAAAGTTATTTTGTTTTATAGAAAGGGCTGTTATTATTGTACTATTGTTGTCAATATGGTTTGAGAAAGGAGTTGCTAAATGCTTAATTTAACTTGGATTTGGATACCGAATGTGTATTCTGATATGATGATTGGGTCTGGAAGGTGACAAATTAGTGTTGAGATATGTTCAAGTAAATCACACGGTGCTTTGAAATGACTTGTTAAACAACCTTATTAGAATTATGAAGTATTTACATCATTGTTAATGTAGTATATGTCAAGAAAGGCGATTCAACTAGCACCGTCACCCAGCATCTCAATTTGTCCAACAACAATTAAAGCCCATAATAAGCTGTATATTGCCTAGGTGAAGTAATATAGAAATTAATAACTATCTCTGTTGAATATGTAATACTCCATAATTCTTAATTGGTTGAAATACCATGATTTAGTAGATATGAAAGTCATTAAGCGTACTCCGATCCCTCCTGCATCAAGCGAATATGTGTTTTGAATGCCTACCACAAGACCCCGGCTATCTACCAGGGGCATAACTGAAGTGTTATATTGGGTTGGATTGGTATGAAGAATATTGTCGGAAAGTTTTTTAGATGAAACTTCTTGCCCTAATAATTTTTAAAGATTGAAATTAAACATGGGTAGAAGTGTAGAACTTAGAAGCTTAATATGGTCTCACACTCTCACATATGCCCCTGGCAGTAGTCATGGACCCGGGTCGGGCTGAACTCGGTCTGGCTTTTTTTGGGAAGGAAGAACCGGAATTGGCTCGGGTAGGCAGCGGTTCCGGGCCGGGTTGGGCTGGTTCATGTTTTTTTTTTTTTTTTTTTTTTAAATTTCTTTTGCTTTTCTAATTTACCCCCGACCCCCCCCTTCACCCCCACCCCCAAACACCCCCAAAACAACCACACCAATCCGGGAGAAACCAAAAAAATTGAAAAAACCAAAAAAAAAAGAAATAGGTTGGGCCGGTTCACTTTTTTAGGAGGCCCGAGCCCAGACCGATTAATTCCGGGTTCGGGTGGCCTGGACCGGTCCTATGACCGGTTCCGGGCCGGGCGGCCTGACCAGTCCATGACTATGGACTACTTGGCAGTAACGTTGTTGGCAATAGTCAGGCATATGCTGTTTAGGGGTGGAACCGGCCCGACCCGGTTATTGTTTGAACCGGCCCGACCCGGTTATTGTTTGAACCGGCCCGGCCTGGGAACCGGTTCGGGTCGACCCGGCCCGGTAGGAATGCGGTTCTGGCTCAGGCCCTAGGATTAGTGAACCGGCCCGGGCCAAACTTTTTTTTTTTAATTTTTTTTTAAGTTTTTGGGTTGGGCTGGGTATTTTGGGCCATTTGAGGTGGTTTGGGGGTGAGGGGGGGAGGGGTTGGGGGTTAATTAGGAAAAGCCAAAAAAAAAAAATAGAACTGAGACCTAGGGGTGGGTTCGGTTCTTGCGGTTCGGTTTTGACCTAAAACCAAATATAGAACCAAAGAAAAAGTTCGGTTCGGTTTCGGTTCGGTTTTACACTCCAAAACTTGGAACCACGGTTTGATTGGTTCGGTTTGTTTCGATTCGGCTTCGGTTTTTTTCGGGTTTTTTACCAAAAATTGTCATTTGATTTAAAATTGATATAATACTTAGAGGGATCGAACATATTGCATAAAGAATGCAAGCACACTACAACAAATAAAATAAAAATGAGAATAAATGAATATGTCTTGAATTATATGAGTATGCCACAGAGATAAAAGTGTATATATTATTAATTTACATTGTAAAAATAAATAAATTAAATTACATTGTTTGTGACTAGTTCGAAAAAGTTCATGAGTATATATGTTCTATGTGATATAATTGAGATGAACATTTATTGTTTCATAAATATAAAATCTTTAAGTCACATAAAAATAAAAGTTACTTAATACTAATAACTAGTGAAAACATATTATCATCATCCAATAGAGCTACATTATTACAGGCAATAAATGTGTAAATGAATTTATAAACTAAACTAAACGCAACACAAACATTATTTCTCTAGCACAAGAAAACCAAAGACTATTAATGATACTAAGATTAATTAATTAGGATTAATGATTAACAATTAACAAATAAATTTTATATTTTAATTAGTTCGGTTTGTTCGGTTCGGTTAGGTTTTGAAGGGTAAAAACTAAAACCGAATCAAACAACTACGGTTCGGTTCGGTTTTTTACATTCGGTTTCGGGTTTTTTTTGCGGTTCGGTTTTATTCGGTTGCGGTTCGATTTAATTTGATTCGGTTTTCGGTTTTCGTTTTTTCGGACCCAGCCCTACCGAGACCCGGCCGGGCCCAGGCCCGAACCGGCCCGAGTCCACCCATAATGTTGTTGACCCGAGTGGGCCCTTCACTTGCTGTGTGCAGGTCAGTGGTGAATCAATAAATAAACCACTCACCTAATGGTGGACTCGGGTCGGGCTACCCGACCCGTGGACCGGCCCGGACCGTTACTGTGCGGGACCGGGACCGGCCCGGGTGTCGGGTCCGGGTCGGGCCTAGGCCCGGGGGGGGGGGGGGGGGGTCCGGGCTTGGGTCTTACATCTGGGCGAGCCGACAGGGTCGGGCTCGGGCCGAATTGTTTTTTTTTTTCTTTCCATTTTTGGGGTTCCACCCGGGTTGGGCTTGATGGTTAGGAGGGGTTTGGGGGGGGGGGTGGGGGGGGGGGGGTAGGAAAGCAAATATATATATATAGACACACACACACACACATATATTCCTGTCTGGAATTTCCGAACAGGAACCCCCGTCCGGCCTCCTCCATTTGGGGGCCTTCCCGGTAGTATTTTTTGCTCAAATGTTTTGTGTATGTTCCTCATCAAGTCTAGTTCATCCATACCAAATTTTAGCAAAAAATTCAATCGGGAAGGTCGTCAAATGATTTTTGCAAGTTAACTGGTCCGGAATAAGTAGGAGGAGGCCGGACGGCGCTCCGGTCAGGAAATTCCTGACCGGAAGATTACTCTCTCTCTCTATATATATATATATATAATATATATATATATATATAGAAATGATCCTGTCCGGCACGTTTTTGTCCGAACGCCGTCCGAACATGGCCATTTGGGGCCCTTCCCGGTGGAATTTTTTGATGAATTTTTTTGAGCATGTTCCTCATCAAGTCTTGTCCATACCAAATTTCAGCTCAAAACTCCACCGGGAAGGCATTCAAATCATTTTTTGAAGTTGACTGCGTCAAAATGTACATATAAAAACGCAGTCAACTTCAAAAAATTATTTGAATGCCTTCCCGATCGAATTTTGAGTTGAAATTTGGTATGGGCAAACTAGACTTGATGAGGAACATGCTCCTCAATGGGGTTGAAAGGAAGGCTCCAATTGGGCGTATGATATGCTTTTGATACTGCTGGTAGCCGGACTCCTCATTGGGCTGAAGCCCCCGGGGTTGTAAGATAGCCTTCCCATTGGGCTCGTAGGTTGGCAGGCTGGCTTGCACACGTTTTTGGATCAATCCTTTCAAACAAACATGTTGCATCTATCTAAACCCTATCTTTAATATGATAACATTATGTCAAATTATTATCATATCTGAAATAATGTCAAAACCAATAAAAATTAACATATTACAAATAACATTACTAATGCCCTTAATGTTGAGGAGCCAATGAATCGTTTCCCTAGATTGTCATTTGTATAGGATGTCATCATCTTCACATGAATTCCACAATCCACATTTTTGATAAGCCATATCATTGTCACCCAAGACAAATCTTCATGTCAGGCCGGCCTGACGGGATGCTCCGTCCGGCCGATCCCGTTTGGGCACCTTTCCGGTAGAATTTTTTGATGAAATTTTTTGAGCATGTATCTCATCAAGTCTAGTTTGTTCATACCAAATTTCAACTCAAAATTCGATCGGGAAGGCATTTAAATCTTTTTTTGAAGTTGACTGCGTCAAAATATACATATAAGAACGCAGTCAACTTCAAAAAAAGATTTGAATGCCTTCCCGATCGAATTTTGAGCTGAATTTTGGTATGGGCAAACTAGACTTGATGAGGAACATGATCAAAAAATTTCATCAAAAATTCCATCGGGAAGGTGCCCAAACGGGCTCGGCCGGACGGAGCATCCCGTCAGGCCGGCCTGACAAGAAGACCACTCTGTCACCCAAATATCATACTCAAATCGGTTAAATGACAAAACGAGTAGAGGAAGAACATTACACATCAACTTTGTGGTTCGTAAGCGAAATAAATGAGAAAGAGCAAGGAATTCAGCACAAGAGAAGAAGAGGTTACACGAATGACTGAATTTAGAAGCGGAAGAGCATGAATGACATAGGGAGTGTTTGCAATTGCTTCAACTTTAAAAAAGTGATTTTTTAAAGTGGTTTTGGGAAAAGTGATTAATAGTAAAAGTTGGTAGTGTTTGAGAAAAAAGTGATTCTGAAAAAGTAAAAGTTGGTAGTGTTTGGTAAAATAAGTACTTTTTGTGTAATAGAAAAAGTGAGAAGCAGTTTAAAGCACCCTTCTACCTGCTTCCAGCTTTTAGCTTTTAAGTGATTAATTAATTTAAGCAGAAGCTGTCATTTGAAAACACTCTTTTCAACTTTTTTTAAGCCAAAAGCTGAAAAGTGCTTTTTTTAAGTAAACCCAAACACTCCTATATACGATGGAATGAACAACTATTGATTGCCACATTAGTGTTTTCTAACGTTAGCTTCGTATTTGTACTACTTTTACACTAACACGAGATTATATGTAAATGGGAAAACTATCAAATAAGCCCCCGTACTATACCAAAAAAGTCGATTAGGCCCTCGTACTTTA